CTAAAGAGATAGGCTACCCATTCCAGTATTCTTGGGTTTCCCTTAGTGGCTCAGCTGGTAAAGAATCTGCCTGCAATGCGAGAGGCCTGGGTTCGATCCTAGGTTGGGAAGATCCTCTGGAGAAGGGAACGGCTACCCACTCCAGTATTCTGGCCTGGAGAATTTCATGGACTATACAGTCCATGGGGTCACAAAGAGTCAGACATGACTAAGTGATTTTCACTTTCACTTTCACTTTACAAACCACCCTGCTTTGCGGAAATCCATGGCCCTCCTGTTTCTCCCAAATCTTACTCCTGCTTGTCATGGCAAAGCAAGCATAAGCTTTGGAAGTGCAGTAGGGAAATCCAGAGCTGCCTTTGGAGAAGGCTGCATTTTTGGTAAGTATCTGAAGACTAATTTGTGTGGGAAGCTGGATACCTGTGGTGAGAGATGGGGCAATGGGATAAACAGCAAGGATGGCTGTGACACCAGCCTTGCTGAGGCATCTAGCTGGCTCTCACAAAGTCGGTAATGTCGGTGCCACACTTTTCTTGTGGGAATGTTTGCCCTGCCTGTAGGTCTAATCGGATTAAAAGAAGGAAAACATATCTGTCCTGTCTACCTGCATGGGGAGTTGCCCCAGGAAGGCCCAACCTGTGGCCACAGCAGGTTGAACCAGGAGTGGACACCACCCTCACATAGGCCTAATCAGACTTCCTGTCCTGGGATTATATTTTATTTTTAAAAACATTTTATTTTCTCAAACATTTTATTTTATCTTGGAGTAGAGTTGATTGGTAATCACAAGTAGAGTTGTGGTAGCTTCAGGTGTACCACAAAGGGATTCAGTTATACATATACATGGATCTATTCTTTTTTAAACTCTTCTCCTAATTAGATTGTTACAGAATATTGAGCCTAGTTCCCTGTGCTATACAGTAGGTCCTTGTAGGTTATCTATTTTAAATATAGCAGTGTGTACATGTCGATCCTGAGTGTCTCCTGGGATTTTAGAATAAGTACCAAGAGGTTCAGGCTCAGTCTGAATTGATTTTTTGAAAGGAAGAAATGAAAAGCCTCAGTCTCTGGGCTTGGCCATCTTTGAGAGAAGTTGGGCTATAGAAGAACAGAGCAGCTCGTGGGAAAGGCAGAGCTGAGAGATGGTCTTGACTGTTTTCCAGTTGCCAAACCCTGGCCTGGCCTGAGACTGAGCTTTCCTTCTATCTTCAGGTCTGAGGAAATGCCCTCATCTTTTATCATAAGTTCCCCAGTTTTGCTCACAGTTAGCTTAAATGGTCTCAGCTTCTCAAAACTAAAGGGTTCTAACTAATACCCTTGCTCACAAAGCTGGTATGAAAATCAAATAGACTCATTTTACGCAAAACATCTGAAAACTCCTTTAAAAAAAACAGACTTAAATTTGCAGTTAGGGCAGGATCACAGGCTCTGACTGTTTTTTTAGCCCCAAACTAAAAAAAAAACTCTGCTGATTTCAACCCTATCCTTGCCACAAGTTTAAAAGTACATGTTGCATCCAATTTCTGGGTTTTGGGTAAGGGAAGGCAGCGGGGAAGGTGTCTGTGACTGAAGGCAACATGACCCTTGGATTCTATATTACAATCAGTAACCCTGACTGCTCTACCAATAAACTCCCAACTTCAGCAATTTGCAAAATAAAAAGATAACTCCTGTCCAAGCCCAAGGGTGTTGGCAAGGAAGCTCTGCTTAAACCCGTTATCTGGGAACCTAGGTTTCTTCTACTTCTCTGCTTTTGCCACTTGGCATACCTTCCTTCCAGGGCCACGGAGTTCTCCATGGATCCTCTCTACCCAGCCAGCAGATAAGTGAGAATGCAGAGATCTCCTGGGACGTTTTTAAGGAGCCAGGCCTGAAGATGGAAGACTTTATTTCTGCTCATATTCCATTATTCAGAGTTCAGCCACATGGCCACGCTTAACTATGAGAGAGGTTGAGAAAATGTAGGCCACCTACAAGTCCACAAGGAAAAGGAAATGCTGTGAGCATCGCAGTCCCTGACTCCATCATTTAGCCCTTCTTCCCTGACTCCTGTTTGTAGTTGTCTCTGGCCTGATGTCATGCAGCCAGTAATACAGGGACTGGCAAACAACCGGCCTGTGGGTTAAATCCCACCTACAGCCTGCTTTTATAAATAAAGTTTTATTGGAACACAGTCATGCCCATTTGTTCATTTCTTGTCTTTGGCTGTATTCCTGTGATAATGGCAGTGCTGAATAATTTTGATGAAGACCACAAAGACCACAAAGGCTGAAACATTTACTCTCTGGACCTTTACAGAAAAATTTGACAACTTCTACAAAAAACACATAAGCATTCCAAATTCCAAAAGTATGTTGATCTCTCTGAACTGTGTCTTTTCTTTTTCTTGTGGGTCAGTTTGCTGCCCTGGGCAAACCAGTGAATGAGACCACACGTGGTGAAGGGTTCCATTGTGTTGGGAAGAACTCGGGTGCTCACTTTTTCTGAGGTCATTGGGGCATTTTGGTCATTTTCATCATATTGCTGAAGTTTACCCTATTTTTAGGCTTAAGGAAACTCTTTCTGAATTGAATTCTTTGCAGTTATTCAACCTCTAAATAAAGTTCCCATATCATCTGGAAGCTTTTATATGTTTTAAATTAATGGAAGAGAAAGCCAATAATGTAAGTGTGGCCAACTCAAGAACAACAACAACAACAAAAAACAGATTATAGGAAGAGCAAAAACTGGAAAGAGAGTTGAGCAATGTTATGATAAGCCTCACAAACTGCAACCCTAACTCTACTCCTGTAAAATTATCTTATTGTTGCTACTGAAAAAATGCCTAACTGCAAAATATGATTTACTGCATAAGTTGTGCTATCTTTATAAATTAAAATATTATATGTCACTTAGGTCATTTTAAATTAACAATAACTAGAACGTTGCTTCATTTTCCCTCATTATGTATGATGTTATTATACTTTGCTGTATGATCGAGACCTTTTGGATCCTTTATTTGATGAAGATTTTGAGACTTCAAAACAGCCTGCCTCCCCTCTCAAATGGGCTTTTCTTGCCTGGAGTTTCTGTGATTCACTGCAATACCATCAACTCCCAGTCACTCTGCCAAGCCCTTCTGTGGTGTTTCTAAGGACACAGGTTTGGTTTCTAAGAGCACTGACACGTCTCGTCTCTCCCAGCGCTCAGAGTTTCCACCTTCTGGTTTGGGGCTTTGGCCAGAGCACACGCCCTGTTCACAGATGTGCCAGAAGGAGCCCAGACCCTCTGGCAGAAGCACTGTCTTTTCTGCCTGTGGAGTGTCTGGTGGGGCGGTGATGTGGTTGTTGTTCCCCTCCCCCAAGTCACAGGGAGACTCGGGTTGGGGCTGGAAGATTTGCAGTCTCTTCCTCTGGGCCCCACCTGAAAGAGAAGTTCTAGGCTATGAACTTGCGAGGAATTTTTGTTTTCTGCTTTGTGAGTCTTGTTCATGAATCCCCCTTTTTCATTGATCATTGGGGCATTTGAAAACAGAAATTCCAGGAGCTCCAGCTGAAACCAGGGGGAACCTCTCTCTCCTCTGCCCGCTAAAGGATCTTGCTAGAATGTAAGCTCCATGAAGACAGGTAGTTTTGTCTCTTCATTGATGGATTCTCAGTTCAGTTCAGTTCAGTCGCTCAGTAGTGTCCGACTCTTTGTGACCCCATGAATCACAGCACACCAGGCCTCCCCGTCCATCACCAACTCCTGGAGTTTACTCAAACTCATGTCCATCGAGTCAGTGATGCCATCCAGCCATCTCATCCTCTGTCGTCCCTTCTCCTCCTGCCCCCAATCCCTCCCAGCATCAGGGTCTTTTCCAGTGAGTCAACTCTTCGCATGAGGTGGCCAAAGTATTGGAGTTTCAGCTTCAGCATCAGTCCTTCCAATGAACACCCAGGACTGATCTCCTTTAGGATGGACTGGTTGGATCTCCTTGATGGATTCTAGAACAGTCCTAATACATATTAGCTTCTCAAGAAATATTTGGTGAATGAATGACAGATGACTGACCAAATGGCATTTGAGAATGACTCTATGTCTGCTTACTGATACTTTTCTCATTTCTTCAACAACAATAACAACAAAAACAGGTTTTATTTAGGTAATATTTACACACAAAGAAATGTATAGGTTTTCAGTGCACAATCTGATGAACTTTGAGAATAGATAATCCCTATGCATCCAAGGGCTTCCCAGGTGGCACTAGTGGTAAAGAATCCACCTGCCAATGCATGGGACATAAGAGACACGGTTTCGATCCCTGAGTCCAGAAAACCCCCTGGAGAAGTGCATGGCAACCCAGTCCAGTATTTTTGCCTGGAGAATCCCAAGGGTAGAGGAGCCTGGCAAGCTACAGTCCATAGCGTCGCAGGGAGTAAAACACAGCCGAAGCAACTGAGCTCGCACATACCCATGTAACCAGTGTTCCAATCAAGTTTTATAATATTTTCATCACCACAGAAAAGAACAATGCCTTGTATTAATCAGCTTGGGGTCCAGCCTCACTTTATATAGTTCCCTTTAGAGTTCTCATTTCATTTTATCCTATTACAAGAACTCATGTGAGCCTACACCTACCAAAATATAAGCTTGGTGAGGTTGGAGATACTATGACCTGTCATGGCATGTCTGGAGCCAGGTAACTAAATAAATGTCGAAGTAGGCACTCCTGGATAATCCGAAGATAAGTCTTACATCAAAGATGCACTGGGGTGCGTGTGACCTATTTCTGAGTGCAGCCCTGGGTGCAGAGCACAGAGAGAAGATACAGAGTGGAGGAGAAGGAGGAGCCAGCTAAGCCACAGAAAGAACAGAAAAGGTTCAAGAAGGGCCAGATAGTGGGACACACAGGGACTTCACAATGTTGTCTCAGGTCAGATCTACTATTCTTGCCAGCAAAAGGATTTCCTTCCCAATCATTACACGAAAAACTAGTGTGCTTCATCTCCATACCAAATCTCACATCCCAGGTTTGCAAATTAGCAGTGCTTCACACTCAGTGGACGTTCAACACAAGATTCTTCAACAGAATTTATTGAAGACCTGTCTTTTCTCATGATACTGCTGTACCTGACCCAAACAACTAGGACCCAAAGGACTCTGCAGGAAATGGGCCAAGATCTAGAATCAGTCACTAGCATCATGGTGCAGAATACAGGTTTTAGAGCCCTTTGACTGCATTCAACTTCCAGCACCACTACAAAATGGACAACCCTGTGCATGTTATTTAACCTCTTTGCTCCACACTGTCCGCATTTGTAAAGGAGCATGACAAGAGGGACAAGCTTCTTGCGGGGATTAATGAAAACAAAGCACATAAAGAGCTTAGCATGAGCCCAGCATATACTAAGCACTCAACCAGTGTTCTCATTACTAGCAACTCAGAGAGTGAGCCTGACAAGAATACCCTCAGTTGCAGGAACTGAGCAAAAGGTATCTCATATGTTCTTGGGTCAGCTACAGTACTGAGAAGATGTGGCCTCAGCAGGTCACAGTCTCAGCAGACAGAGGGCCTTGGAGAATCTCATTGGAGGTGATGGAATAGCCCACAAAGCAGGGATAGAAAAAAATAGGGCAGTGGGGACGGAAGAGGAGTCTGGGAGAACTCCTTAGAGAAAGGAGAGAAACCAGGAATGAGTGACTTGTTCAGAAATATGGAGGCAATTCTGCCTTAGGACCCAATACATCTAACCCCTTCCCCCAGTTTTGTTCTAATTAAGCTACGGGTACACACCAGGTATGTGCTTGATATTGGCACATGCACAAATACACCATATGTTTGTCCTGATAAAAAGATTTTGGTAATTAAAACATAATATTGAAAATACAAATGGAGGAAAAGGAATTTGTGATACATTTCCGCTCATGTAGTGGTATCCTGATAAAACGTGATTCTCAGCTCTATAAATCAGATTGATAATGAAATGCAACTGTAGGTTGGTAAGGACTGTGAGAACTGGAGTCTGGAAACTTGAGCTAAGCATCACTTCTTCCCTAGATCAGAGCGAAGCGGGGGAGAAGAGACATATCTTGGATAAGAGGCTGGTTCTGTGTAAACTTTTTCCTTTTTCAGGTCACTTTCAGAGTATCACAATTATTAATTATCCATTTCTACACTCCCTTATTAGAAGGACCCCCTCCAGGGAAAAAGCAGTTGACCTTCTAAAAAATGCAGTCCTTTAAAGGCTTGGGCCTATGACTGTCCCCTCTGTGATGTTCTAAAAATGCTTCCCTTGGTGGCTCAGCTATGACTCACATGGCCCAAAACAGCATTTCAGGAAAATTGTTTGTCTCTGTCTCTAGTCTCTGTTCTTGGCTTCTCTTGTTCAGCTGATAAGACTTTACAGTGCTATCCAGGTGAAGGAATCAGAGTTATATCTGCAAATAGAACACTCCACTCCATCACACGTCCCGTTAGGTGTGGCAGAAGCTGAGACTAAGGGCTCCTCTTCATAGTGAGGAAGCTTAGGACATCCTCTCTGGGCCCCAAAATTCCTGGCTGGCCTCCACTGAGGTGGGCCATTGCAGGTGCCCATGAGAGCAGGTGGCACTGCATCTTTCCTGGCACATTCAGCTTTGGTTTAACACAGAAGCAATTTGACTTGGAGAGTGATGAAGGGATTCCCTCCCCAAGGGATCTGTTTAGCTGGCAGTAGTTCCGGTTAGAAATTTACCTGTTGGCACAGAAAGAAAAGAACAGAGTAATTCTGTCAAAACTGTACAATCAAACTGGTCAGCCCTCTCTGAATGAAGGCCTGATGCTGGAGTCAGCCCCATGCCCCCATCAGCATGAACAAAGGGCCTATTATTGGATGAAAACAATTACCTGCATGCCAGCAGGCAGCATGCTGCAGCGGGACCAACATGCTTTGTTTGTGTCCCATCACTGCCACTTCCCTGATAAGTGATCTTGAGAAAGTTTTATCAACCCTCCATGCTTCAATTTTCTTACCTGTGGAACAGATCTAATAAAACTAGCCTCCTAGGGTTTGGGGAAATGATTCGATGAGACTAATCATGGAAAGTGGGCTGCAAAGTGCTTGACACATAGTAGGCTCTCATTATTGCTAGTTTCTCAACATATGTCTCTTCTTTGTTCTTTTGCTTTCCTGCTGGTTTTCCTAAAAGCAAGGAGAATGGAAAGAAATAAAAGTTATGAAGAAGACATGGATATTAAAGGCAGCAAGGAAGACAGAACTGGCAGGAAGTCTGATGAGGAAAGCTCAGGACATTCAGAAATCAGAACAATAGTGGTATTTTGGGTACTAGTAGGTTCTGCAGCAGATAACTGTGTGTTTTTTCTGTCTGTGCAATGTCCTTCCTTCTTGTGTTAACTTTCTTTTGTTGTATAACAAGTTACTCCAAAATTTAGCAGCTTAAAGTCATGTGCACTGCTGACATCACAGTTCCTATGGGTCAGGAATGTAAGTACAGCTTAGCTGGATCATCCAGCTCAGGGTCTCTCACAGGCTATAGTCAAGGAGTCGGTCAGGTCTGCCCTCACTCAAGGCTCATACGGGGAGGCATCCACTCCTAAGGTCACTCAGTGAGTGGGTAATGACAGGACTCAGCTCCTTGTGGGCTATTGGATTGAGAGTCTCAGTTCCTTGCTGTCTATTGGCCAGAGCTGATCCTCAACTTCTTGCCACATGAGCCTTTCCATAGGGTAGCTTATAATATGGGAGTTGGCTTCATCAGAGTAAGCAAGGGAAAAGGGGGATCATAGACTTTGGTAAAATAATGTTAGAAGGACTATTCCATCACCTTCACTGTATTCTATACATTAGAAGTGAATCACGAGATCAAACTCACACTTAAAGGGAAGGAATTATGTAAAGGCCATTATCATCAGACATGATGATCACTGAGGTCTTAGAAGGCTGATAACCTCACTGCCCTTCTGGTGAGAGCAACCCTCCAGAATACCTGCCATCTCTCCTGGACCCCTAAATGGGATAACATGAGACCCAGATCATCTTTGATCATAGCACATCCAGTTAGCCACAGTGATTGGTTCAAGAAGTAGCCATGTGACCCAAACTAGGCCAATCAGAGTCTTTCCCTGGGATTTATATATACTAAAACAAGGAGACAGAAGTTCTCTGTTTCATCTGAAATCACTAATATGAAATGTAGCCTGGGGTTTCCCATGGCCATATCCTCTACTAATCATAAAAAAGAATTCCAACTCTACAAAGAACAATTTAAGACATCACATTCTGAAGTAAAGACAAAAGATCTAAGATTAAAAAGAGAGCACTAACAAACCAATGGCATTTGTTTTTAACCCCTGAAGCTAGTTTCCCTTGAAAATGAATATATCTCCCCTTTTCACCTGAGATAATTTAAGTTGGGTTACATCTCTTGAAACAAAAAGAATCTTGGTTAAGTTGGCCTTGGTTTTTGCATCTGTAAAATCAAGGAGCTAAACCAAATGATTCCATGTTTCAAGTTCTAAGATTTTGACTTGAATGGTCTGATCCTTTATCAAGAAACAGATTTTTCAGAAGTGGGGAAAGAATAGAAGAGCAGCCTGAAGGGAGAGGCACACACAAGGGGCACAGAGGCTCTCCTGTGACCTGTGGGAGCCAAAGACCAAGTCTGCCTTCCCCAGAATTTACCAAGGCTCCAGGTTTCAACTCAGAACATTAAGAATGCCACCAAAAAGGATTCATGCTTCTAGTGACCCAGAGTAAGAATCAGACATCTTATTTCATAGACTGCTGGAGCCATGATAACACAGTCTCAGGGACTTGGACTTTATAGAGGCAATAGCCCTGTGCTTAATGATGATAATAATAAAATAATAGTATATAATGTTTACTGAGTGAGTACCACATACATGGCAATATCTCACATCCCAAGTTCTTGACTTACTAGGTATGTGACCTTAGACAGGTGACTTACCCTCCATAAGCTCAACCTCTGCAGAGCTGAAGTCGCTCAGTCATGTCCAACTCTTTGCAACCCCATGGACTGTAGCCCCCCAGGCTCCTCGGTCCATGGGGTTTTCTGGGCATGAATACTGGAGTGGGTTGCCATTTCCTTCTAAAGGGTCCTCATCTGTAAACTGGGGATAATAACAGTTTCCTTCTCACTGGGCTGTTGTGAGTGCCACATGAGTCCATGCAGGTAAAGCACCAAACACAGTAACCAGCATGTGCTGTTCTTCAAAGGCTCCTCCTTGCCATCCTTGTTAGTATAGTGGTGAGCATCCCCACCTGTCAAAGGCTCCTCCTTGCCGTCCTCGTTAGTATAGTGGTGAGCATCCCCACCTGTCAAAGGCTCCTCCTTGCCGTCCTCGTTAGTATAGTGGTGAGCATCCCCACCTGTCAAAGGCTCCTCCTTGCCTTTTCACCCAGCTCAAGTATCGACCATTCCACCCACCACCCACTCTTGTCCGTCCACCTCCTCTGTGCCCCCCACAGCACTTCATTCCTGCCTGCTTTTCTAGTCCTACGAATTTGCATTACATTTACCTGTTCCCCTAGTTATTACTCTTGGCCAACCATACCTTATTTATCTGTGGGTTCCTAAGGTCTAGATCCATGCCAAACACACAATTTGGATCCCAACAAATCCAAACAGGTGGATAAGCACAACATACATCAGCCTCTAAAGCAGAAGAGCAGATGATCTGCCTGGGAGGAGGACATATCTCTGGGTTTCAGTACCTGGTTGGGTACTCAGGATTTTTGTCAAGCGAAACTCTGATGTGTGTTTGTAAAGCTTCTCCTCCAATGAAACCATCAATTGCTCAAGTGAAAAGTAATAATTCCTCACAACTGGCAGTCCAACCCATCAGTAACCAGCGTGGAGCCCAGTGTTAATGGGTGCGGTGCTGCTGGTTTGGAAGCTGACCAGAGACAGTAAGTAAACATGACGGTTGCCTGGGTGTACAAACACCAAACCAGCCTCTCATGGCCTCATCCCTGGGACAGTCCAGTCACCGCATCCGTGACACCCACATGTGGTTACTTGTCAGCTCCTGTAACGTGCAGCAGCAAGAGCCGATCACCCTCAAAATGCAGATATTAAGGACAAAAACACAGTAACAGCAGTTTTTATAAGAAGCCAATGTGTTTGTGTGGGTGTATTCAGAAAAAGTGGTCATTTTCTAAGGGGGGTATATGATAAGGGCCTGTGTTAAAAGAGGAAATATTTCTCTCCTTCTAAGACCACATTATTTTTTCCAGCTAGAGGCCAGGCAGGACTAGAAGGTTAGAACTGTGCCCCCATCCAACTGACGACAGAAAGATGCTCTGGGGGATGGTCTATACAGCACTTCATTTCTCATTTGTGTGGATATCAGAGAAGC